TTAGGGTTTAGGGTTTAAGGGTTTGGGGTTTAGGGTTGAGGGTGTCGGGTTCAGGGGTTCAGGGGTTCAGGGTTATTCGTCCTTCCCTCCTCCATCCCTGGCACCTTCGACTACATGGCTGAGAGCTTTTGGGGGATGCGGGATGATCCCTCTAGTACGATAACGGGGAAAACCCCAACCCTCAACCCGAAGAGGGTCCTGCAAATGGAGAACAACCCCAAGACCCTAAACCCTAAAGTCTAAACCCTGAACCCTAAACCCTAAACCCTAAACCATAAACCCTAAACCCTGTCACAAAAGGCACTTGGCCAACATCTAGAGCCCTTTCACCTCCACAGGACAAACCCTATGCATAATTACAGGCTGCGGGGGGGGGGTTCATGGCTTGGGGGTTAGGGTCTGTGGTTTGGGTTTAGGTTTAGGGGATTACTACTAATCAATCCCTAATTAGGTTTTAGGGTTTAGGGTTTAGGGTTTGGCAGGCTAAGGTTTCACAGGAGTCTCATCGAGGCCCATGGGCTTGCAGTGCAGGCAGGTAGGCAGGTTGCGACACGATTTCTCCTCGATGAAACCTCTCGCCCTACACCGTCCACCAAAGACTTTAAAGCGTAACGCCCTTACCCTAACTCCCTAAACCATATGTCCTAAAATCCCGAAACCAAAGCCCGAAGCAGTAAACCCTAACCCTAAATCTCTCCGAACCTTAAACCCTAAACCCTAAGTCCCTAATCCCTTCTAAATCCCTGAACCCTAAATCCATAAATCCCTAAACGCCCAGGACGTCAGCACTCTGCATCTGGAAGCGCCTTTTGGCAAGATCACGCTGCAAGACATGCTCCCGCTGCTCCCAAAGGACACCCAAACCCTAAACCCCAAACCCCGAACCCCACACCCTAAACCCAAGCCCTAAGCCCCAAGCCCCAAGCCCTAAGCCCTAAACCCTAAACCCTAAACCCTAAACCCTAAACCCTAAACCCTAAACCCTAAACCCTAACCTAAACCCCGCCACGTTGGTGTTTTTAGGGTTTAGGCTGGCAGGGCTGATAGGTTGTGGGCTTAGGGCCTGAGGGTTTGGTAGGGCCTTGCGGATACAGGGTTTAGGGTTTGGGATTTAGGGTCTAGGGCTTGTAAGGCTTAGGTTTTTAGGCTTTGGTGTTTGGTTAGGGGTGCATCTACAACAATGCCACTGGACTCGTGGCAAAGGTAACTGACGTGTACGGTGCCTTTTCCAAGATGAACCTCCGTTGTCTGGGACATTACAAGGTTGCTGATGCCTTAAAAACTCGTGTACATACATACATACATACATACATACATACATACATACATACATACATACATACATACATACATACATACATACATACACATACACATACACGTACACATACACATACACATACACATATATCTATATATATATATATCTGTTTATGTATATTTCTTTGCTTTTATCAAAAGTTTGTTCGAGTTCATGGGTGCCAGGCAACGTGGGTTGAATCATGGCAATGGCCAGCACAACTCTATAATCCTTAGGGTTTAGGGGTTGCGGTTAACCCTAAACAACCCTAGCATAGCCCTGTAGTAATTCTTGGCTTAGGGTTTCGCGGTTTGGGTTTGGGCGCCCCAAGACACCTCAACATCCACCAGAACCATGCGAAGCACCTGGGCCCTTGCTGTGTAACCTGATCTGCTGCCAGAGGATGGGACAGTCCGCTTTTCGCGCGATTACAGCAGCCCGCCTTCAGTCGTATAGGGCGTACTTTGTAGTTCTCAATAGCAACTCGGGAAATCCGGTACCCCCCCATATCCCCTTATACTATCCTTTATGCTGTAGGAACCCCCCCCCACTAAGAAGTAGTGAGTTTAGGACTTTGTGTTCAGGACTTTGGGATGTTTTGCTTTACCCTCGCATTCTTGCGGGCTCCGGCTCTCTTTTGCTAGTCAGGACTCAGGACCTTGGGAGATTCCGTAGTCCCCCTTTTGGGTTTCAGGGGATCTTATTTCGGAGTCACTGGTCAGCGGGTCTTTAGGGGCCAAGCTGGTGCAGATTCATGTAGCAGTTCGGAGGAGGTTGTTTGGCAAGTACTCTCTGTACTCGTCAAGTAGGGCTCGCATGTCAACACAACCTGAGAGTTTTTGAACTTCTCATGGGTCCTGAAGTATGATTCGGTGCGTTGCAGCTCCATTGCGACTCACACGGTTCCCAGTTTGGAAGCCCACGGGTGTTAAGAAACTTCGCACCATGAAGCAGTACTCAACTCAGTGAAGATTGTCTTTAAAGCCTTTAAGGTCTTCGAAATTTCTCCTTCTACAGACTTCTCAAGGCCTTGTCAGTACCCGCAGCCTACATGCAGCCTGTGTTTCAGTATCACGCACAAGTCTAAAGAAGGATTTACATTTAGGGCTCAGGGTTTGGTGGGAGAGGCTTCTCAATCCGGGCCTGGACTCGTGACCCTGCGGAGTCTGAAGAAAGCCCGGGAGACCCCAACTCAGCTGCCGCACGTGCTGGGAAGGCATGGATGAGGAGGTGGTGACATGCACCCCGGCGCGGTTAGGGTCTGGGCTTCAGGATTTAGGGTCTAGGCTACTAGTGGCGGCAGTCCTGTGGTTGCGACACCTTGGGCCACCAAGTGAACTCACAACTGAGGAGACCCCAGTGCAGTGAGCATACTCAGATGACTCCTCAACCCTACAACCCTACATCCTAAACCCTGCGACCCCAAACCCTACAACCCTAAACTCTGAACCGCCGAAGCTCGTTGTAGATCCCTCTGGGCCTCGGACTCAACGCATCAGCATGAACACTGTTGGGCAAGAGGCCCCTCGAGACCACAGCCCTGAGACTTGAAGCCTAGTCTTTGGGCTTCTGAGTTTCCTAGTCCAAAGGGCTACAACTGCCCAACCCGGTTCAAGCCCTAAACCTCCAAGCCCTAATACCCCAAATGGCTCCCTGATCCCTACCCCGGAAAACCCTAAAACCCCAAATCTCGAAATGAATCTCAACTGACAAGCCGGAAACCCGAAAACGCCTGAGCTCTGAACCCCTGAACCTTAGAATTCCACTGGCCCCAAGAGCTCCAAGCCTTTTTCAGCCTTCAAGGTGTAGGGCTTAGGGTTTTGAATTTAGGGACCCGAAAGCCTTAACCCTGAACCCTAAACCCTAAACCTTAAACCCTAAACCCTAAACCCTAAACCCTGAACCCCAAATAACAGTGCAAGTTTCCAAGGCTACGACCCAAAAGCGCTGGGCGAAGTGCCCTTGCCACACGACTGGCCACCCGCCCTTGAATTGTGGTCTTAGGGTGTGGGGGTTTACGGTTAAGGGTTTTAGGGTTTTAGGGTTTTAGGGTTTAGGGTTTTAGGGTTTTAGGGTTTTAGGGTTTTAGGGTTTTAGGGTTTAGGGTTTGGGGTTTGGGGTGTAGGTGCCTTTGATGAACCCTAGGGTCGAATTGGTTTAGGGTTTAAGGGTTTGGGGTTGTGGGTTTGGGGTTGAGGGTTTGGGGTTTAGGGTTCGGGGTTGAGGGTTTTGGGTTGTTGGGTTGAGGGTTTCAAGATTTTGGGTTTAGGGTGTAAGGTAGATTGTTTTGGGTTTCGGGCTTCCAGGTTGAGCATTTTAGGGTTTAAAACCCTAAACCCTAAACCCTAAACCCTAAACCCTAAATTGAGCCTGGGGCCTCAGACTCGAAACCTGAACTTATTTTTCTGAATCCGGAGTCCCGAATACCCTAAGCCCTGAACCCTCAGCGCCGAAGTCCCTGAAATCCACAAACCTCGAAGGCTGGACCCCAAGCCCCACCCGAATTCCCCAAAACCCTCAAACCATAAAAACCCTTAAATCAAAGACCCCAACCCTAAAGCCCTAAACCCAAAAAACCGTTAACACCCTAAACCCTAAAAAAAACCTTAAAGCCCTAAAAGCTAGACTCCAAAAACCCTAAACCGTAAGCCCTAACACCCTAAGCCCCATCTCCGCTTTAGGCAGGATCCGAACTTCGACCATCGCGGGGGCCGCTACCATCTGACCTACACGGGCTTCTGGCCAAAGCAGACGACGCGGTCCTGAGTGGCCCTGTTCGGTTGTCTGATATTTTTAGGGTTAGGGTTTAGGGTTTAGGGTTTAGGGTTTAGGGTTTAGGGTTTAGGGTTTAGGGTTTAGGGTTTAGGGTTTAGGGTTTAGGGTTTAGGGTTTAGGGTTAGGGTTTAGGGTTTAGGGTTTAGGGTTTAGGGTTTAAGGTGTGTGGGGTGTAGGGTTTAGGGTCCTCAAGCCATTTCTGGAAGAGAGACCAATCACAATCACACTTGTGGCCATGATGCCCTTTATAGGCTCTCTGCTTGAAGCGGCGGGTGTGGGGTGACGTTTATGCTCGTACCTGGAATCTTAGGGTCTAGGGTCTAGGGTTTAGGGTTTGAATCACTACGGTGTATAGCGTCTACGGAGCTGCGGCATCGTTTCACCAGAGGTGGGATGAGCCCATTGTCGTCATAGCCGTGGCGTTGCTCCAAAAAAGGGGCGAATCTTTAGTCCCAGCATCTCCTAGCTAACTTTTCGGGTTTAGGGTTTAGCGTGTTTTCATTTATTCATTTTTTTTTTTTGGGGGGGGGGGGTTGGGGTTTTAAGGGTCCTGCACCTATGTGGTATCCCTCGCACGCCGAATGCCAAGCATTTTGGTCATAGGGTTTTGCCCCCACTATCGGCCCTCAAGCTTAGATTTGAGGCATCTGGGGGTAGAGTAGCTTCAAGCCTCTGCAACCCTGAACCCTAAACCTTAAACCCTAAACCCTAAACCCTGAAACCTAAACCCTAAACCCTAAATCCTAAACCCCTTTCTGGCGCTTCTTCAAATCATTGGCAAGGCCAGGGGGCTCCGTTCATCTCCCTCCATTAGGATTGAGGGTTTAGGGTTTAGGGGCTTTGGGGTTCAGGGTTTAGGGTTTTGGGTTTAGGGTTTAGGGTTTAGGGTTTAGGGCCCGAAGCCCACTGGTCTTAGATGCCGGAGGTCGACAAAGCCGGCGCCGTGGTCGAAACTGCACGGGCCACAGGGAGCTTGTCAGGGTTCGGGGTTCAGAAGTTCAGGGTTCTTAAGGGGGTATGTAGGGGGGGTTCAGGGTTCAGGATTTAGGGTTCAGGTTGAGGGATTAGGGTTTAGGGTTTAGGGTTGAGGGTTTAGCAGGTATGGTATGTAACCCAAGGTTCCCTAATCCTCCCCACTACTCCCCAACAAATCCCCAAGCTTCCCTAAGGCTCCTTACGTACCTACCCCCCACGAACCCCATAAAGAAGTTCAGGTTTCCGGGAGTTTCGGGAGTTCAGGAGTTCAGGGTTTAGGGTCCAACCTCCAAGCCGAACCTTTTTGGGTTCAGGGCGTAGGTAGTAGGGTTTGGTACTCGCAGACGTAGGGATTTTTTCAGGTTGAGGGTCCAAACCCCCAGCCCCAACCCCCGAATGGCTACCCAGGCCCTATATCTTCAGCGACTCAACCCCTGAAGCAAACAAAGGGCCGAAGAGGCATCTTCTTGTTGCCAGGAGCTATTCAGGGGAGATGCCTTCTCATTATGAGTAGGATCAGAAGGTGCCCCCTCAGGTGATCTGCACGGGTTTAGGGCTTAGGGTTTCAAGGTTTAGGGTTTGGGGCTTAGCGGTTTTTAGGGAAGGTACGCATTGGGGGGGGGGGTGGGGGAGGGGGAGCCGTGTGTAGCAACTGAAGGTTTCCAATCGCCTCCCGAAACCCTTTAAGCCCAACCCCCACCCTTACCTCCAAACCGATAAATCCCACTCCAGAACCCAAAAAATCCTAAAGCAGATGCCTCCTGAAACCACAGACCTTGGGGCCCTTCCCTAAACTCGAAAACCTACATCTCCAATCCGGAGCCCCTTCCTTCAAAAGTTTCAGGGTTTAGGGGTCTAGGGCCTAGGGTTCAGGTTTAGGGCTGTACATCTACTAAGCCTCAAATTCCAAATGCAGGGATTGAGAGACCCGTGAGAGGTGCTTGAAAGAACCCTTTGACGGTAGGCCTCGACTTTCCCTTCCCCCCTCAAAATGCCCCAATACGGACAGCCCGAAAGTAGGGTTAGAAGTACCTTGGTTGGATGATAAATAATGCCAAGTAAAAATCACCTTACTCAAATAACCCCACTTGCTAAGTCCCCTGACCCGTTTATACCTACCTTCGAGTTAAGTTTAGGATCCGAAGGTTCTGGAGTACTGCCGCGCCCGTGGAGGGCTTTGGCAAATCAAGGCCGGCAATCTTCTAGGACTCTGAGCTCAGGGCCCTTATTCCTTTCTTGTTGGATTTGGGTTCCCTTAAAAGCCCGCTAGGCCAAAAAGGGTACCCTTCTCATTCCCAAGTTACTCTTGTGTCGAGGTTTCGTAAAGTATGATGGTACAATATAGTAGTATACTATAGTAATATAGTATACTTTACTAGTATAATATTATCGTATTATAGTAGACTATAATAGTATACTATAGTATCATAGTATGCTAGAATAGAATGCTATATAGAACACGACAGTAGTAATTGTAGTATTTCTTCAAGGCAGAAGTAGCTACGGCCCCCTTCATCTACTGCGGTCCATGCTGAAAGTCGAGGCCAGCAACGTGGATTTCAAGATGGCCGCAGAATTTCATGGTCTAGGGTTAGGGTTTAGAATTTAGGGTTTAGGGTTTAGTGTTTAGGGTTTAGGGTTTATAACTTAGGGTTTGGGGGTTAGGGATTACTCTTTTATAGGGAGCTGCTCGGGGGAACTCTAAGCCCCAAAACCCGTTTTGGCCAACTCTCGGGCCCCTTGCCACTTCTGAGCCTGTGAAGGTCTTCTTGGAGGTTCATGGTATTTGTTAACTAGTTAGAAGTGTACTTCTAACCCACGTACCATGAACCTCCAAGAATGACATCCGGTGCATTCAAACGCTCTGAACGATTGCCAATATCGCAGATTCAGAGGAACCCAGCAAAGCCTTTCTCTTACTATTGTTAGCACAATATCTTCGTGTTCTTCGTACCATTCTTCATTACGCTCCTGATTCTTACGATCACACTTTTTCGAACAATCACAATGCCAACGCATACCTGAACTCTAGCACGGCCAGTATCAATACTTTCGTCCCTCGTTTTCCCAGGTCAATACTTCCTGCACTCTTCCCACCATCAACCCTCAGACATGAGTCTCCGACGTCAGCCTGGTCCAGTGAAGTTTAGGCAAAACTGCTTTGAGCCTGCAAAGCACTTACAGAGCTTTGCGTTCCTGAAAGGGAGTACAACCCTAAACCCTAAACCCTAACCCTAAACCCTAAACCCCTAAAACCTAAACCCTAAACCCTTTTTCAGAGGGGGTACTTGCTGTCGGATTTCGGACTCGCTTCCGCGAGCCCAAGTGAGGGTGGAGACCTGGGCCCCAGGCCACACACCCAATATTGAAGTTGTGGGCTTAGGGTTCAGGATCCTAAACCCTAAGCCCTTAACCCTCAACCCTTAACGCTGAACCCTTAACCCTTAACCCTAAGCCTTAGGGTTCAGGACCCTAAACCCTAAACCCGAACCCTAAGCCTTAGGGTTCAGGAACTAGCATTCACTAAGACAGGTGGTGAGGCGCCGTCTTGGTTATACTTCGAAAGCCTTCGCATCAAAGTATATCGATGAAGGATGTTACCCGACTGTATATAAGGATCCAAGAGTATGATATGAGGTATAGTTCTTAAAGCAAGGCGTATTCTTTTGGTAAGTGCCTTAGCAGCCTCGGAAGTTCCTCCAAACCCTAAACCCTAAACCCTAAGCCCTAAACCCTAAACCCTAAACCCTATAAACCCTATAAACCCTATAAACCCTATAAACCCTATAAACCCTATAAACCCTAAACCCTAAACCCTATAAACCCTAAACCCTAAACCCTAAACCCAATTTGCGTTGAATCCATGGACCCGAAATGGCCCCAACTGCCAGGCTTTGAACCACCTGGCCACCGTGCGCATGAAGCAGGTGGGCCTCCAACGCTAGGGTTTAGGGTTATAGGGTTTAGGGTTTAGGGTTTAGGGTTATTGGGTTATTGGGTTATAGGGTTTTCGGGTTATAGGGTTATAGGGTTTAGGGGGTTTAGGGTTATTATGGGGTTTAGGGTTTAGGGTTTAGCGTTTTAGGGTTTAGGGTTATCCCTCTCTCCCTCTCTCTCTCTCTCTCCCTAAGGGTCCATGTACCTTATTATTATGTACTTGCGCCCCAAAGTCCCTATATAGGAGGTACTTTAAGTCTTCCCCAGTCAGGTACATGGACCCTTAGGGTCTGTCTTTCTCCCTCCCTTAGATACCTAATTCCCGGCAAAAATGACTTCGGGCTCACCGGGGTGCACAGCGCACCGGTTTTCCTGGGAGCGCAGTGCTGCGTGTTGCAGCCTGCGGAGGGTTTGGTGTTTGGGGTTTGAGGGGGCCCTGTAGCGTCGTGTGACTATATCAGGGGCGAAAGCGCGCAGAAACCAGCAAGCAAAAAGCAACACCCATAATGCGTTTAAACGGATTCTGAAGCCATGGGACACCTGTGTATACTTATCACTGGAACCAGCCACTCTTTTCCGAATCCTGGTTGCCGCCTGAAACGGTGCGGGGTGCTAGATGGCCCTCCGCAATTGGGCCAGAGCTGCCATTAGCGAGTGATTTCAAAACCTAATGCCCCTTGTTACCCTTAAATTCCCCCTAGAGCCTGAACCTAACCCCTAAACCCTAAACCCTAAACCCTAAACCCTAAACCCTAAACCCCAAACCCCCAAACCCTCAACCCTCAACCCTCAACCCTGAACCCTGAACCCTAAACCCTAATCCCTAAACCCTAGCCACCCAACGACTCAACGCGGAGGCTCGGCACGAGGAAGCCCTAGCCATCCTCCAGGAGCTTCAAGCCTTTGTTCAGGACCCTTAGGGTTTAGGCATTAGGGTTCAGGGTTTAGGGTTTAGGGTTTCGGGTTTCGGGTTTAGGGTTTAGGGTTTCGGGTTTAGGGTTTAGGGTTTAGGGTTTAGGGTTTAGGGTTTCGGGATTCGGGTTTCGGGCTTAGGGTTTAGGGTTTAGGGTTTCGGGTTTAGGGTTTAGGGTCTAGGGTCTAGGGTCTAGGGTTTGTTCGGAAGCCCTTTTGACTTCGTGAGTAGGGTTCGTAAGTTGTGTTATGGGGTTTCTAGTAGTGTTTTTAGGGGATACTAAGTAGTCTTACTGAGTCAAAATAGCCTCCAAGTAGGTTTTTTGGAGAATTTAGGGGCCCTTTTTGTGGGTTTTTTTTGGTGTATTTTGGTGTGCGTTTCTCATTTGGGGTATTTGGGTACTTAGGGCATCAGGAGGGGTCTGTTTAGGGTTTCTTTAAGGGGTATTTTGGATAGGGGGGGGGGGGGGTATTTGGGGGCATTTGGGGTACTTTGGATTGTGTATGTGTTTTTCGGGTTTGGGATGTAGAGGGCTTAGTCAAGGTTCAGTACAGATTTCGGAAGGGTGTAGAAAGGGCTTGTCAGGGTTGTAGTAGGGACTCAGGTCAAAAGGAAGGTTCGGTAAGGGTTTTTAATGGTTTGGGGCTTCTACGTTCTCAGAAGGCTTCGTAACGGGGCGCATAATAGTCGAATGCTTCTAGGTAGGGTCTTGGGATGTGTTTTATGTGGTTAAGAAGATCTGGTTCAGGAGATATGTTCACAAGGCTTACACAACCCAGCGATGTAACCTGGGGTTTAGGGCGTGCCCCGCGAAAGCTTTTGGGTTTTAGGGTTTCGGGTTTAGGGTTTCGTTTCCATCCCAAGACCTTTAAAGTCAGCAATTGTCTTGCGGAGAGGGCGCGCGCCCCCCCCGAGCCTGCACACTTCCGCGTCCTCGCGGTTTTCGTGTTGAGGTGGAAACAAACGTCCGTTTTGCGAACTGCGCTGCGTAACATAGCTGCCCAAGGCCTTCAAACAAGGGCCCACAGCTTGGAGGGCTCCTTGCGTAGTTCAGGGTTTTGGGCATCCCTCTCGGATGACCTAACAACCCAACCTGTATAAGGACGCTAAATTGGGTTATAAGGATCCTATCTCAGGTTATAACTATAGTTAGCATAGTAAGGGGGCCCCTCTTTTTTCTGGTTCTTAGAAGGGAGCAACTTGGTAGCTTAGTGGTACCTCTTCCTTTTTGTTCGTTCAAGGTTCCCTTATGAAGTAACCAAGCCAAAAGGGGTGCCCTCGTTAAGAACATGGTTGCTGGGCTACCAAGGGGGTGGCGAGGAGGTTTAGTTTCGTGTTTAGGAGATAAGGTCTGGATTTTAGAGCTTCGGTTTTGCGAGGTTGGGATTTTGGCTTGTTTCTGGTCAGGCTTGGGTGTTTGGACTTTTTGTTGGGGCCTTTGGGGCTCAAAGGTCTTTTAGCGTGTTTTGGAGGCTAACGGGCGAATGCATACAAACAGAAATGCTTCGATGGATTCGAGCATAGGGGACCGGGGTTAGCGTTGAGAGTCACCTTGAGATAGCACAGAAGAGACTTCAGTAGAGACGATTCTTCATTCGTTTTGGCACAAGACAAATTTTGGTGTCAAGGAGATATCAAACAAGAAATCCCAATACAGATAGTTTCTCACTGATTTTGAAAGAAGCCGAAGTTGCTGCCACCAAAAGCTTTCTTTGGCTCCACTCCGTGAAGAGAGCCTGTCAGAGAGCCTCATGGCCTCATAAACCCTACACCCTGATGCAGCGTGACTTTTGTACCCTAAACGTCCTGGACCCTGATCCCGAAACCCGAAACCTAAACCCTAAACCCTAAATCCGAAACACTAAACCCTAAATCCTAAACCCTAAACCCTAAATCCTAAACCCAGCCTGGCAGGCATTTTTCCAGGAGCCAAACCCACGCCAGGGATTTAGGGTTGAGGGTTCAGGGTTTAGGGTTTAGGGTTCAGGGTTTGAAGCCTTCGCGCGCTGCAGGACAGTCCCGAGAGCCAGGACAGGAAAGGGCAAGTGCCTAGGGTTTAGGGTTTATGCAGGGTTCATATCGGATTTATCGGGCTTTTATAGGGTTCGTAGGGTTTACATAGGGTTTTAGGGTTTGGGGTTTTGCTTAGGGTTAATACGTGGTTTTTACAAGGCTTAGGGCATATAGGGTGTAGGGTTTATACAGGGTTACTATAGGGTTCAGGGAAGGGTTTGGTGTAGCCCTACTTTCCTCAGAATGGTTGCTGGGGAGTTTGGTCGGACGACTGAGTCCACGCCTTGCTGTCCTTGTTTGTGTCTCCTGTTTAAGATCTAGGGTCTAGGGATTCCATGGTTGCAAAGCGTTCAGAAAATGCCTTCACCCTAAACCCTAACCCCTAACCCTAAACCCTAAACCCTACAGTAAACCCTAAACCCTCTACCCTCTAAACCCTAAACCCTATAAACCCTAAACCCGAAAACCCTAAAACCCGCAGCCTTACTCGGGTCTAGTAAAAGGGTTCTGACAGCTCGAAACTCCCTGAGGCCCTAAACCCCGAAACCCGCTAAACCCCCTCAAACCCCCCAAATACTCCCTAAAAACCCTTCAATTCCCCCCCTAAAAACCCCCCTGAAACCCCTAACGCCCGAAACCCTAAACCCGAAACCCCCTAAGAACCCCATGAAAACCTCGCAAAAAGCCCCCCCTAAAAACCTAAACCCTAAACCCGAAACCCCCTAAGGAATCCCTATTAAAACCCTCTAAAAGCTCCCTAAAAACCCCTTAAATTGCCGAGACAGGAAACCCCCTAAACCCTAAATCCCAAACCCTAACCCTCAAAAACCCTAAACCCAAAACCCTAAACCCTAAACCCTAAACCCCATAACAGCCCCCCTAAAAACCCTTAAAATGCCGAGACAGGATCAGGAGGCCGAGCTCTGGGAGTTCTTTGAAACCCTGTGCGCGCCTCGGGGCCTCCCTGGGCTGGTTTAGGGTTTAGGGTTTAGGGTTTAGGGGGTTTAGGGTTTTTAGGGTTTTTAGGGTTTTTAGGGTTTTTAGGGTTTAGGGTTTAGGGTTTAGGGTTGTTGGGTTCAACGAGGGTGTACAGGGTTTATACAGGGTTTACATGGTCAGGAGGCCTTGGATCGAGATGCGCAAAGAACTGGCGGTGTTGCAGGCAGTACTGCGGGAGGACATCTCCAAGAGTTTAGGGTTTAGGGTTTTAGGGTTTAGGGCTTAGGGCTTAGGGCTTAGGGCTTAGGGTTTAGGACATCTCCAAGAACACCGGGCTCCACTGACAAACTTCGCATCACCCTCCGCAGCAACACACAGGCTCGCAGAACTTAAGCAGTGGTGCTCCTGGTGTAGGGTTTAGGGTTTAGGGTTTAGGGTTTAGGGTTTAGGGTTTAGGGTTTTAGGCACCAAAGCATGCCGGAGTCGCACAGTCCCAGGCCCTGCAGGACAGGTTCCCCACCGGGAGCGGGAAACCCCCTAAGTCCTGAACCCAAACCCCCAACCCAACCCGAAACCTTAGGCACTCAAGCGAAACCCTAAACCCGAGACCCTAAACCCTAAACCCTAAGCCCTAAACCCTAAACCCTAAAACCCAAATCCACCATGAACAGGGTATACTTTGGGGAGGGGACAGGAGGTTGCGCAGATGCTGGTCCAGATGTAACATAGACCCTGTCAACCGCATCATCGGCCATATCAACCGCATACCCCATGACCCGCAAACTCCAAAAAAAAACCAGCACCCTGTAAACCCTATATTTCATACGCACACACAAACACTACAAACCCAGCGAACCCGGTAAACGCTATAAACCCTAAACCCTGATAAGGCCCTGAACCCTACTTGGAGGTTCACGGTGCTTATTAACCAAAAATGACTCCACATATCGCCATATCAAGGCACTTAAGGGGCTTACAAGTGGGTTATAAGTACAGTTATGATTGGTTACATGAACCTCCAAGCATCCCTAAACCCTAAACCCTAAACCCTAAACCCTGGGGTTAATGTGTACCATGGACCTCCGAGTATGCCTCCCAGGTATCGAAACATCGCCTGGGCGCTCTCGGCGATGTCTCGTGAGGCTGAGGCCCCTACGTTGGCTTGGGGTTTTCTGGTTTAGGGTTCACTACAAGGAGGGTCCCCCTTACTATACTAACTGTAGTTAAGGGACTTACAACCGAATTTAGGATCCTTATAACCCAATTCAGGGCTCTTATAACTCCACTTAGGGGGCCCCATTTGCTTTGTCTTCGACCACAAGAACTTCAAGCACAAGAGGGGCGAAGAGCATTTGCCCGCAGTTGTTAAGTCTTCTGGGATTGCTTGAGGGTGGTTTGAATTGATAGGATAATACATGCAAGGTGTAATGATTGCGCGCAATAGCCTACAGCCATGACGGCGACAACGACATCCTGGCTGCGTGCAAAAGGATGCCATCCCAAATGGCACCTCTGTACTGTCTAAACACCATGGACAGCAGAAGCCAGTTAAAACGAAGGTTGTTACCCCACAAATTATGGGTTAAAACCTACAAAAATGTAGGTTTTGTGGTGCCCATGGCATGTTCATGCTCTCCATTTGCGCCTTTGCTTTATTCAGCTTGTTCAGCCTCTGAAGCTTTGGCAGAGCCGGCAGTGGCAGTTCAACATGAACCGCGAGTCGTTTTCGGCGCAAAGTTGTCTGACGCTTAGCGAACACTTGCATCATGGGGTTCTTTGTGCTGTTCTTGCTGCCTTTTGCGGACGGTGCACGATTTGGCGTGTACCAGGAGGCATATCCATGGCCAAAGGTCTCTCTAGCATTTGACTCTGTTCATGTTTTCACGGATGCAAAGCAGAAGGGATGGCTCATGAAAGAGACTGGCTGCGCATTCGCAGGCACTGACGTTTGGCATACCTGCACTTTACCTGGTGGGCAAGCCGCTGAGGGACCTTCAAGTGCCACAATACCACAGCTTCTTACAATGCGTGTGGACTGTCGTGAGAGTGAAGTTCCCTTCACGCAGCTCACAGTCCAGGACACCGACATCGGGTATTACCATCATCGCTGTGCCCGGGTAACCTACACCAAGTATTATCTTGCGGAGCCTTTGGACTCTTTGCCCGTGGTGACTGCAGAAGGTCAGCAGGGTTGGTCCTTCACGGTTGAAAAAGGGGCAGTCTTTGATCTTCACTGCGCTGTGCTTCCCTTTCGTGAAACTGGTGACGGCTTCATACTTGGCGATGATCATCTCATAGACAGCTCGTATATCTATCCGTTTGAGCCTGAGCTCAAATTGGATGGCAAGACCATCGGCTATCCCGCCTTCTCGAGACTGAGATCCTTCGTGTCCACTCTCAGAGGAAAACATGAGAGTGAGAGATGGGTGTCCTGTGAACTGGCTTTGTCAAAGGCCTACAAGTGGACCATGCAACTGGTCAACTCCACTCAGAATCTGCATGTCTTTCGCTTGTCCAGTCCGAATTATGGACTTCCGAGTCTCTTTCAGCCACCTGATGGCTTCAAGTCTTCCAGTGCCTTGCTGTTCAGTGTATCTGGAAACTTTTTCGAGGCTGAGGTTCTCCGTGGCACTTCCATCCCTGGCGGTGTGTCTTTGAAGGAGAAGCTCTTCCCAGATTTTTATGCAACAGAAGGGACGGACCAACACATTGCGGCCTACTTCAAGTTTGAGCCCGACATATCTATGTTACCCAAAAGCACCAGCGGTGTGAATCTGACAGTTGGCCTCTGGTACAAAGGCAACAAATACCAGACCATACAAGATGACAGAAAGGAAACAAGGTCTCCGGATCTAGAATTTACTTTTGTGCTTCCTGTGAAAGATCCAGGCTCTGCGCTTTCAGCCAGCACGGGCGGCACAGGCGGCACACCCTGGTGGTTTTGGGTACTTTCGATCATCATCGTGAGCTTTGCGGCTGCCATGGCCTACATCTTCAGAGATCGCTGCCGGGGCTCGGCCAGGGCGGCCCAGACGGCCCAGGCTCACAGCTGATTGGTCGCTGTGGCGCGCCAAAGAAACATTGATAATCCCTATACTACCCTTGTAAAAAGGAATCGGAATCCATTTATTTAAAAGAATTTGTAGACGAGGACGTAGACCGAATTTATTTTTTGGGGCGGGGGTTCTGAAGCAATTCGTAGTTCAGGTTTGTGGTTTAGGGTTGTCTTGGCGGTTGAAGATTTCACGGCTGAATGGCTGGGAGCACTTGAGGGCTGCGACATTGTTGTAAGCTTTACAGTTTCTTGCCTCGGGGAACGACGCCAAATCCCAGCCGAAGCGATCTCCACACCTAAGACCTATAAGCTTTCTACTTGACTAAATGGGGGGTTTCCGAAATTAGGGGAGCCTCCAATATACCTCCCAATGGTAGGATTCCCTTCTGCTAAGGGCCCCAATAAAGTAGCCCTAATTTCGGAACCCTAAGCACTAAACCCTAAACCCCCAAATCCAGATTCCGCCCTTCGACGGGGGGCCGAGAGTAAAGGCCCTAATATCCTAAGCCCGAAGATCTCAAACTGCCCTGCCAGCTTGTACCGTGCTTCGGGTTTAGGGTTTAGGGTTTAAGGTTAGGGATAGGGTTTAGGGTTTAGGGCTTAGGGCTTAGGGTTTAGGGTTTAGGGTTTAGGGTTTAGGGTTTAGGGTTTAGGGTTTAGGGTTTAGGGTTTAGGGCCGCAGATCCGCTTGCAAGCAAAGAGCCTGAATCCAAGGAATCCAAGAGCAGCGGCAGTGTTCCGGTTTTCTTCAGATATGGGCGCTGTTTAAACAATCTTTCAAGCCGAAACCAGAAAGGCTTAATTCGAACCCTAAGAAACCCGAAACTCTGAGCCCGGAACCCAGGACTCCAGAAAGGTAGCAGGATGTTCGGATTAGGAGGGTTGTCGTGCAACGCCTTTTCAAGCCTAACTCCCTAAACTCGAAGCCTTAGACCCTAGTGTCGTTGCGTATTAGGGTTTATATAGCGTTTGGAGTCCCATCTTGGCTCGAAATGTCCGACAAGGAGGGGCCCCCTAGCTATAAGTAGAGTTACAAGAGCCCTAAATTGGGTTATAAGGATCCTAAAATAGGTTATAACTCCCTTAACTACAGTTAGTATAGTAAGGGGGCCCCTCCTTGTAGGTTTCAGGGCAAACCCTAAACCCTAAACCCTAAACCCTAAACCCTAAGAGTACCAAGATCATTCGCAGGCAATCACTTACGTCGAGCGCGCAATCTCCGTGAAGCAGCGGGTGCGCTGACGGAGGAGGGTTCGGCGTCCAGCTTGGGGCTGGAAGTAGCGGTTAGGTTTATAGGGGTTAGGCTTTGGGTTTATAGTGGTTTCGGGTTTTAGGGTATAATAGGGTATATAAGGTTTAGGGTTTGGGGTTTAGGGTTCAGGGTTTAGGGTTTAGGGTTTGGGGCAAGCAACTCCAAAACCAGCAGCCCTGAACCCTATATCCATTTCCCCAAACCCAAACCTGCATGCTGGTGTTGCCCTTACTTCTGCCTAGCTCGGTTTTGTTGCGAATGCAGTCGATGATGATGATCATGCCGGTGTTGCCCTGAGTTTTTCTGCTTTGCGGCAGCATGACCATCGGAGTCAAGTTTTGTCCAAAAGAATCCCCTGCATCCCCGGATATAAGTAGGCTAGACGCTATCCAACATACCCATCCTTGAGCCCGAAACCCCAAAAAGAGATGCCCTAACCTCAGCCCTTGTAAACCAATCCCTGAGATTCCATGTGTAGTACTATTGTAAAAATCAGATACCCCAAAACCCCTACGTAGTATGGCTTTTTGGGTACTTGGTTCCGTAATTGTACTACAAACGGGCCCTCAGACGAACCTCAAGTCAATCATAGGTGGGCCGCGAGCCATCCTGGTTCGATTTCTGGGACCGTGGACGACTCTCGGTACTTTTGCCTCCCCCACTTCGGGTTTAGGGTTTAGGGTTTAGGGTCGTTCAGGATTCAGTGATCTTTGGAGTTAGGGTCGAGGGTCGAAGGGTCGAATCGAAGGGTTTTTAAGGGTTTACGGGTTCCGGAACTTCTGCTTGCCATGTGGGGGAAAGTTCGGGGTTGAGTCTTGGGAGTTTCGGTTTCGGCGTGGGAATCTGCTCTCTGCATTTTCAAAGATGTAGATCCTAATGTAGAGCAAGGCAGATGCTAGCCTGATTCGAGCCTATAAACCAAAGACCCAAATCCCAGCATCAGCGTCTAGAATCCTATAGAGACCTTTAACACCCGGTAAACCTTTCACAAGCCCAGGCCCTAAACGCCCTAAGCAAACCCTCACCAAACCCTGGTAACAGCACCTCCCTGTGTTGGTTATGTTCAAACTTTTGAGGATTGATACGGTTCAGCTGGAGTGCCCGATTAGCTACTATGATTCTTGGGCTTTGGGTTTGGGTTGGGGGCAGCAATCAAGATGAATGGGTTCACCCGCAGCTCTCAGCGTTTTGCTGCTGATTGCCTGAGACAACTCATCGCCACTGGCACTCTCTTGCTACCTTGCAAACCTTTTGATCCCTAAACCCTAAACCCTAAACCCTAAACCCTAAACCCTAAACCCTAAACCCTAAACCCTAAACCCTAAACCCTAAACCCTAAACCCTAAACCCTAATCCTGGAGGGGTTTGGCACTCTGGCTTGAGACCCTGCGTTGTAGTGTCTGGCAACTAGCGCCTGGTTTGGGATTTTGTTTCTAGGGTTTAGGGTTTAGGGTTTTGGGTTTAGGGTTTAGGGTTTAGGGTGTAGGGTGTAGGGTTTAGGGTTTAGGAGAAGCGGAGCCGCTTCCAATGCCGCAGCCATTGGCACCTTGCACAAAGGTCTGTTTCACCAGTTGGGCTATCAGCCAAAGCAACCCTGTGTAAGGCTTGGACCCTAAGACTTATAAACCCTCAACCCTATGCTACCCTGAGACTTCACATGACATGGTCAGCCATCAACCATGAACAGGCCGCTCTTGAGGTTTTGGGATGTATAGCGAAGAAATGTGTCAAGTGCGCAGCACAGAACAGCAGCTTCTGCATTGAGAAGGGGCAAGCATGCAAGCCTGACAACACCAGCAGGCCCACTGGCACGGACAAGCACGAAGCACAAAACAACCCAAAGCCCTGACCCTTTCAGCCCTAAACTACCCTAAACCCTGAACCCTAAACCCTAAAAGCCTGTGTTTCAAGAATGCCATTCTACGTTTGGCCCTGGCCGGTACATGGCGCACAATGCTGACGGTCAGCACTAACCTCAGTAAGGATGCGGGCGTTCTCCCCTTTGGGGGGGAGGGGGAACCCACCGAGCCTGAACCCCAAACCCTTAGCCTAAACCGTAAACTTTGCTTGCTGGAGCCATGTGTTTTTTTCCTGTGTGCTTCGACTTTCCTCTATGGACCGTAGGCCCCAAAACCCGAAACCCGAAGCCAATAAAACCCTAAAGTCTAAACCCAAAGGGCCCAACCGGGTTATATAGGTTTTGAGGGGCCTAGGGGCTTAGGGGGCTTAGGGCTTCGGGCTTAGGACTTGGGTCAGGGCATAGACCGCCCAAGCTCAGACTTCGGCTTGAAGGCAAACACACCTCCCACCGACATGTTAGAGAGCTGTAGGGGTTTAGGGTTTAGGGTTTCGAGGGGTTTAGGGTTTCGAGGGGTTTAGGGTTTCGAGGGGTTTAGGGTTTCGGGGTTCTGGGGGTTTAGGGTTCGGGTTTAAGGCCGTGATGACGGCGGCACTCCGCCAAGATCGTGCCCTGTGTATTTTGTGAGTCCGATTTGGCATCAATATGTATATGTTGGGATCTGCCTCGGCACACTAACAGTCAAATAAAGGGTTTTGTACTAAACATAGCGCAAAATTCCAGCACCAGAAAGTCTGATCGAGTTTGGACCTGGCTCAGCAGACGAGATCACACTTTGGGCCTTGGTTTGTGGTCTTTTCTGGTGCTAGTCACTGTGCTCCTGCTGGTGCTTGTTGATGGTGCCATTGCTTCGTTCTGAGCACAAAAAATAGCACCGGAGAAAGCACAATCATGAGCACAAAAAATAGCACCGGAGAAAGCACAATCATGAGCACAAAAAAAAGCACCGGAGAAAGCACAATCGTGAGCACAAAAAATAGCACCGGAGAAAGCACAATCTTGAGCACAAACAAGAGCACCAGAAAACTTCATTACACTCATACATCAGGCCTTCAGGTATGATCATGAGGCACTCAGAAATGTCCAATCTCACGGTGCTTTATTTTTTGGGTGTGTTTGTGCTGACCATTAGTGTGCTCGGGCAAGTCATAATGTATATGCATAATCACATCATATGTTAGTCACTAAAAATAATTGTCCAATACAAAAACACTGCAATAGACGACTAAAAGCACCTATGCATTTTGGGGGGACCCTAAACCCGAAACCCTAACTAAACCCTAACCCTAAACCCTAAACCCTAAACCCTAAACCCAAGAGGGGGCCGGGGCGTGGGCGTAGACGCTTGCAACTGTGCCGAGGCGCCAACGAGGCTCAGAGACGCGGAGGCAGCGCCGCTGCTCGAAGTGACCATCGACCAATCCCCACTTAGGGTTTTGGGTTTAGGGTTTAGGGTTTAGGGTTTAGGGTCTAGGGTCTAGGGTTTAGGGTTTAGGGTTTAGGGTTTAGGGTTTAGGGTTTCCTGGATCTCCGATTCCTTACTGTTGGGGGGGGCCTGTGGCCTCCCTATTTCCAGGGTAGAGGGGTTGTGGGGTTGCATGTAAGTACTTCATCCGACACTAGTCGGATTGCGCAGCACAACCCTAAACCCCAAACCCCAAACCCCAAACCCCAAACCCCAAACCCCAAACCCCAAACCCCAAACCCTAAACCCTAAACCCCAAACCCCAAACCCTAAACCCTAAACCCTAAACCCTAAACCCGCCCACCTGGGATCTCCAAGACTCCCGCCTTTCGACAGCCAGGCAGCGAGGGGAGCTACCGTCGAGGTAGCACCAATGGTTGGCAGCTGGGCTATGTTCTGTGTTTAGGGGTTTGCTTAGGGTTT